TTTTATTGTATAATTATAAGTGTATAAGACGGAGATATGTGCATTTACATGTGTATATACAATTTTCTCTCGCTTTATACAATTAGAAACACAACAATTCTATTGTACAAAGTGAGAGAGGTGAGCGAAGGAAGCGAGCGAGAGCGGGAGAGTGGCGAGCGAGAATATGAGGGAGAGACGGACTGACAAACAATTTGCTATAGAACAAAAATAAATCAAATGGTAGCTACTATATATATTTTATATAATTAGTTTGTCATTCTATACAATTATCAATTTTTAAATATATACCATAAAGTATTAGTTTAAAATAAATATAGTCATATTTTATTTACATAAATATATGCTGACTATATAATAATATAGATTACTTATACATAAATTATGCACTAACTATACATTATGATACACTCAAAAAGTTAAATATAGTATAGCTATACTTGAAATATACACTAAGTATACATGAATATGAGGGACGGCTCTTGCATACAAAATTTGAGGCATATGCCTTAGGCCCCCAATTTCAGAGGGCCTCAAATTCTTACCAAGAATAAAATTTTTGTTAATCTTATACATAAAATTATATTATTTTGTTCTTCTTAACCTCATTCAGATAGAAAAAATTAATTATTTTTTGCTAACACTCATTTTATTTATCTGTTTGAACTCATTTTTTTTTACAAATCTTTGATAAGGTAAAATAATAGTCTGTCAAAAATATGAATTAATAGTCGAAAAATGTTGAACAAAGTAAATTACAAAATCTTTTATTCTTCTTAAATTTTCAAGCAATACAACAAACATATTAAAGTAGGATATACCAAGTTATCATGCATAAATTTCTAGATTTTAACTCTTGTTTTTATTTAAACTTTATCAACTTATTCCTAAGAATTATGTTAACAATTCATATAGTAATCGGCGCCAGACAAAAAGTGTTTTCTAATGTTGAATTGATAAAATCTTGCCTAAAACTAATAATAAAAAAAGAATATTTGAAGAAATCATCTATAAAGAATTTTTAAGCAAAGATTTACATCTAAAACTTTAGAAAAATAATACATATGAATTTTATTTAGATTTTAGGCCTCTAATTAAAATCCAAAAGTTAGAAAAACAATTGTTAAATAAATATATATGAAGTTTACTTAGATTTTAGGCCTCTAGTTGAAATTTCGCTTTAGGCCTCTAATTACTTTGAGTCGTCCCTAAAAAATATAATAGGCATTACTAAATTGTACTTATAATGTATACCAAATACAAATAGGCATACACACTATATAGTATATACTATCTATTATTATACTTATAATGTATACTAAATATACTACTTAAATATAATACTTACACTGTAACTGTATATATATATATATATATATATATATATATATACACACTTCTTACGCATACTAAATATAACACACAATATACTATCTATTATATCAGAATACTACTATACATATACATAAACATATTTATAATATATACAAAATATACACGCTATATACTATTTATTATATTAGAGCAAGTTGTTAGTATAACTTACAATACCCTTTGTACAATAATTTGTCGTAGTGTTCGTATAACAGAAAGTGTCATTACTAAATTGTACAATAATTTGTTGAATAGTGTTGGTTATACCACAAAGTGTCATATGAATAGACACGTTAGTCTTTTTTTTTTTGGTAGTGAACGTGTTTAGCATTTTACAAATTCATATATAATAGTCAATGCAACTTACACGTATATTTAATTTATTTTTTGGTATAGTACAACTTACAATACTCTTTGTACAATGATTGTTGCAATGTCGTACACACAAAGTGTCATTTCTAAATATTAGTAATAGTAAAGTAAAATAAAAAAGAATGAAAAAGAAGCAAGTTGTGTTCGGCTATTCCCCATGTTCCAGTAAAAGATCCATGGCCTAATCCTACTTGGAAAAGGTTGAAATTATTCTCTTTATTTGGTTTCCAATTCTATTAGAAAAAGAACTGGAATTGTAATTCTATTTGTAGTTGATTTTGGCTTTGTAAGGAAAAACACAACTCTATAAATAGAGGATGATCTTGAGAGAATAATTTAATTGTTCATTGATATTGTGTTTGAAAAACATAATAACATAAGAGAGGTTTTTGAGAGCTTTCAACAAGAGAAAAAAAAGAAGGAAAAAAGTTCTTTTGCTATAGTCTTTTTCTCCGACCAGCAACATTCAGATTGCGTTTCCCGATTAAGTAACCGTTGGATCGTCCTGAAAGTTAAACTGAGTATTTCTGACATCTTGATGGTTGATTTGAACGGTGGAGATCGTATTCGGAGGATATAAAGATCCTGATTTAGGTCCCAAATAGAAGCTAAGTTTGGGTGGTGTTTCTTTCTATTTATCTTTTGTTGGTGTAGTTATTGTTTGTTCTCTTTTAGCACTTGTTATGTAGATATTAGAAGAATACTTGTAACCCTCTATTGGTATAGTGAAGCAATTCGGATCTTGTCGATCTCGTGATGGTTACCTTTGGTTTGAAGGATTTTTCCACGTTAAACTTGGTGTTCTTTATTGTTAGATTTTCGATTTCATCTTTTCGTCACAACAACTGGTATCAGAGCTAAGGTTCTCTATATGCAGGGGAATATGAGCAAGATGGTATGTCTAAACAGAAGAAACTACAACATATGGAAATGCAAAATGAAAGATCTATTGTTCGTGAAGAAGATGCATCTTTCTGTTTTTTCGCTCATAAACCCGAGAATGTAACCGATGAAAATTGGAAATTTGAGCAACAACAAGTATGTGGATATATAATACAATGGGTTGAAGATAATGTTCGCAACCATATTGTGAATGAGACACATGCTAGAACATTGTGGGAAAAGTTAGAGACGCTTTACGCTTCAAAAACTGGCAATAACAAGTTGTTCTTGTTAAAGCAATTGATGACCTTTAAATTCAAGAAGGTCAGTCCTATTATTGATCATATAAATGATTTTCAGGATATTCTTAATCAGTTTTCAGGAATGGGTGTTAATTTTGATGATGAAATACAAGGATTTTGGCTTCTTAATACTCCACCAGATTCTTGGGAAACTGTTCGTGTTTCTTTAACAAATTCCGCCGCTGGCGGAAAGGTGACTATTAAATATGCAAAGAGTGGTGTGTTTAATGAAGAGGTTAGAAAAAAATCTCAAGACACATCTTCACATTCAGATGTTCTATATACAGAAGATCAAGGGAGACATAAGACAAGAGATCCGAGGAGTAGAGGTAAAAGTAGAAGCAAGTCAAAATTCGAGAATCCAAATATTATATGTTATCATTATGGAAAGAAATGACATATTAAAAGATTTTGCAAACAATTGAAGCAAGATCTTAAAGAAGAGAAAAAGGAAGAAAACAATGAAAATAATGTTGTTGCTGTTGAACAAGATGACCTTCTCTTCGTTTGTGATAAAGACGTCATCAATTTTGTATCTCAAGATACAAGTTGGAAAGTAGATTCTGGAGCCACATCACATGTCACACCAAGAAAAAACTTCTTTTCATCTTATACTTCTGTTAACTCTGAGGTGTTAAAGATGGGTAATGTTGGTGAGGTTAAGGTGTTTGGTGTTGGCACTGTTTGTTTGAAAACCAATATTGGTTCAACGTTGGTCCTTCAGGATATCAAGCATGCTCCAGACATTCCGATAAATTTGATCTCTGTAGGACAACTAGATGATGATGGATATCATAATGACTTGTGTAATGGACAATGGAAGCTCACCAAAGGCTCATTGATTTTAGCTCGAGGAAGAAATCATTCAAATTTATATGTGACACAAGGATCGATTCTTGGTGACTCTAGAAATTTGGTGAAGAGCGAGACTTCATCAGAATTGTGGCACAAGAGGCTTAGTCATATGAGCGACAGGGGGATCACTTATTTGGCTAAGAAGAATTTGTTTGCTGGTATGAAACAAGCAAAGGTGAAAAGATGTGCTAATTGCTTAGCAGGGAAACTGAAAAGAGTTTCTTTTCACAGTCATCCTCCTTCAAGAAAATATGAGCTATTGGAACTAGTGCACTCAGATTTGTGTGGTCCTTTTAAAGTGAAGTCAAAAGGTGGTGCACTTTACTTTGCTACTTTCATTGATGATCGTTCTCGCAAGATTTAGGTATATCCTTTAAAATCCAAAGATCAAGTGTTTGATGTGTTTAAACAGTTTCAAACTTTATTTGAGAGACAAACGAGAAAGAAATTAAAATGTATTCGCACTGATAATGGTGGTGAGTATATTGGTCCCTTTGATAGCTACTGCAAATCGCAAGAAATTCGTCATCAGAAGACTCCTCCAAAGACTCCTCAATTAAATGGTGTGGCAGAGAGGATGAACAGAACTTTAGTTGAGACTTTCAAATTCTTTTTGGGTTGAAGCACTTAACACTGTTGCTTATATTATCAATTTGTCTCCTGTTGTTGCTTTGGATGGTGATGCTCCAAACAGAATTTGGTTTGATAAGGATGTTTCTTATGATCACTTGAAAGTGTTTAGGTGTAAAGCTTGTGTGCATGTTCCGAAAGATGAGAGGTCAAAATTGGATGTTAAAACTAATCAATGCATCTTCATTGGTTATGGTAGATGAGTTTGGATATCTCTTTTATGATCCAATTGATAAGAAACTCATTAGAAGTCGTGATGTTGTGTTCTTTGAAGATCAAACTATTGAAGATATTGATAAGACTAAGAAACTAGATTCTCAAACTGATGAGAGCTTAGTTGATGTTGATCCAATTCCTATTATTGATACATTTTCTGCACATGAAGGAACCCAAGGTAATGATCCAGATAAAGATCAGAGGGTAGAACATACAAATGTTCCTACTTATGATGTTGTGGTTGATAATCAACCAACTTATGGTGAGATAGCCACTTCGAATGATCCAGAATCCTCTTGTAGAAGATCTACTAGAGAAAAGTGAAGCTCAACACGTTATTCTCCTAATGAATACATCCTCTTGACTGACATGGGAGAACCTGAAGGTTATGATGAAGTCATGTTAGATACTCATAGAGATAAGTGGAAAGAACTCATCGTAGATAATCATGAGTTTTGTAGAAGTGTGGTAGGCAGGAAGCCCGTCAAAAGTTACTTCACTTAAAGTAAATTTGGCCCCTTGGCTGGAGGGGAAGTAACAATAGCCTCATATTAAAATGGTTTGAAAGGGCTCTTAAAAAGGCTAATAAACTTGATACATTTTATGGTACTGAAATGACTATCATTATTTAAAGTTTTTACCACAATGAACATATGATGTAATAAAATCGTGAAGTTGTAATAAATGTTTTTTTACAAAGTTTAAGTATCTTTTGGCATTCATTGAGTCAAAATATATGTTAACAAAAATGAGTTTACCAAACAAATGATTGAAAAGATGAAAAAATAATTGTGTAAGGTGAGGAAGAAAATCAAGAACATAATGCATAAACTGTTAAAAGGGAAAAGACATTCTCTTTGATATTCCCTTCAACACTTCACCCAATTCATTGCTTGGTTAATCCATTTTTTGCTACCATATTTTATAATTAAACAAATGTTAAAGAATTCAAAGCTTTGTAAAAACACTGGTTGTAGCTTCATGATTTGAAAACATCACAAGCTTTTTGTGGAAAGAACAATAGATTATTGTAGGTATTTCAATACCACAAAATGTGTTAGTTCACGAGTCTTTTTCAAGAACTCTTTTGATCTTTTTTTGTACAAGACTTTCTTGTCTGTTTACTTTCGATGAAAGCAAACTTCACTTTCTTTATATTCATGACAAAATGCAAATATTAACTCAATTTTTTCAAAATAAATAACTCAGAATGGTTAAAATATTCAACTAGTCATAAGCAAGCAACTCAAGTCTTAAAACATTACAAGAAAATATAAAAAGACTCGTCAAAATATTACTATCCATAAGGCGTCTAAATTGCGAGGGAAGTCGGCCAAGTCCCACAACCTATTAATAAAACCAAACCATAAAGTGAAGCCCTTCGAAAAGCAAGAAGTCTCACTAAAGCTGGTTGGAATTCGATTGGATCAACGAAGCACCGATTGATGATATTGAATACTTGTATTCCCATCATGAAAAGATGCAGGCTGAATGACGTCAGTATATTGAATATAAGAGCAAGCAAGGGGAATACTTGAACATAGGTATACATAGTTGAACTGACTGAAAGGAAAAACATACACACCTCAACTCAACTCAATATGAAAGCAACAATAAATGATGCAATATGTATAAAGCTTTTAAAACTATTAATAATAACTCCACGGGTATAAAATACAATAATACGCTCATTACTCTTATATAGGAGATTCTCTAACAGACAATCATCACCATGAGTACGTGATAATACAACGTCAGACCCACGCTATCAGAACTATCTTATACCTTGCTGGAGTAAAGAATATCCTCAACTAAGTGGATCCAATAAGATATGCTTAAAAATAGTATGAAGTCATTTAAAAAGTATGATCATTTATATATGTCGGCTTTTATGGTTTATGAGAATTTTGAGTTGTCTGAAATCTTTCTTATATCGGTGCTCAATACTACTTCCAATAATATATAACTCATAATCGTATGTTTAAATACATAACTCTTTCTCAACATGGGATAAATATTTTAAACTAATAAAAAGATATAAAAAAAATTAAATAGCTAATAAAAAAATATAATTAAGAAACACTAACTTATTTATTTAAACTAAAAGAAAACATATATTTTTGCAAAATTTTTTAAGAAGAAGAAGAAATTGAACATAAAACTTAGCCTAAAATGTGATTTAACTTTTTGTTGTTTTTAAATATTTTTAAAATAAACTTCATAAAATAAGATAGAAACAAAAAATATTTAGTTTAGATTTTTAAAAAATGTTGAAGTTCTAAAAAATTAGAGTTGTCAGTACGGACTAGGTCCGTCGGACAGGTCTGACCTAACTCGTGATTTAATATGGTTGGTTTACGATTTTCGGAATTCATTTAAGAAGAGACTTTTTTAGCTCGGCCTAAATAAGACTGCGAATTTGTGGGGCATGAGAAATATGGATAGGATCAGCCCGTGAGCCAAACAAAAATGAATGAAAAAAATAAAAATAAGATAGATTAATAAAAAAACAAGAGTCTAAACTCAAAATCTATTTAAAGTTTGGAATATTACAATTTATATACAATTTATGTTTATAAAATATGTACTTCGTAAAATGAAAATTTCCTAAAAATTCTAGGGAATTAGTATGTAGACCATAGCCTATGGAATATTGTCATAGTTTACCCGGTTGGTTAAGATTTTTCAAATATCAAACAAAATATTTGTGTCGAATTTTTAAATTTATAAACCAAGCCCAAACCAATAAAAATCGAGTTTTTCAACCTCGGCTTTTTTCGATTTTTGGATTTTTTGGATTTTTCCTATAAAGTATTTATAAAAACATATAACTTACTTGTACTTCAAATATTTTGTTAATCCTATCAAAATACTACTATCTAGGATATTTCTTTTAAATACACGCACAAAATATGATATAATTAATGACACTAAAATATTCAACAAAAAATAATAATGAAATCGCATAAAATAAATATCGAATAAATCATAATTTAAAAATATTAAATCGTACTAAAATAAGTTTAATAAATATTAATTACATAACTAAATATCAAAGAAAATTAAAATTACATTATGTACTTAATTGTTTAAACTAATGTTAAACTCAAAAGTAATTATTTTTGTTGGATGATCAATTAATAGAGAATGAACGCGGAGTACTACACATTTCATTGAAATTAACATCCCACACTTCCACGTGCCTTTGTCTTCACACTACACAAAAAACCATAATTAACCATCATCCATATATCATACAAAACACCACCTCTAGATAACATTTTTGACTTTGACTTGCACATTATAATGGAAGCAACAAATACAATTCTCATTCTCAACAATGTTATTATTGTTACCATGAATTTTCATAACAATGTTCTCTTAGATGGAGCAATTGTTATACAACACAACTCAATCATAGCTATTGGCCAATCCATCGATATTCTCACTCAATTTACTTCTATCTCACGTCAAAATCATTTGACTTCCGCGGACAAATTTTCCTCCCAGATCTTTTCTGCAACAAAATTTATGCGATACAGATAAAATTTACTGAGTTAATTAAGTTTTCTTTCATATGTTTTTTTTTTTAGATATTTAAGTTGTTAATGATTGTCATTGATAATAATATGTAATTTTTAAATATATAAATTTTATAAAACAAAAGGGGAAGTGTTTTTTTTTCTTTCTCTACCTGAGACAACTTCATTAAGTATTTATCAATTTACCAACTTAATTAATCCTCTGTTCCAAATTACTGACAGGTTTTCCTATTTTGTTTAAAAATGTGTTACAATTTAAGTTTAAACTTTTTATTTTACTCTTATTTTAGATTTATAGTCATGTAATTTTCTATGATATTTATTTTTTGGGCTTAATATATAAATATGTTTAATCGCATTTATGTATTTCAATTTTGAGTGTGCATAAATATATATTTAAATTTCTATAAAATTGAATAAATAGACACGTGGCGTTCATAGCAAATTTGGTCCTATGTGGCGTCTTACATATATTTTGCCACATAGGATGTATGGTTTAATTGTTCAATTTCATACAAGTGTCTACTTGTGTGCACCCAAAGTTGAAGGATATAGATATCAGCGAAACTAAGTTAAATGACATATTTATGTATTATGTTTTTTTTAACTACTAGGTCAAAATCTAGTAACTTATTACTGAGATTGGAACTTTTTTTCTTGTTTTTACGTTTTTTTTTTTGAGAAAATACACAAGTACCCCTAGACTATGACCGAAATCTAAGAGACACGCATTAACTAAACTAAGATCATATTAACCCCAGGAATTAATTATTTTTTTAAAAAAATTTTTACTCCTTTTTGGCTTACCTGTCATCCAAATATCTCCCACAATAACGCGGAGTTATAGAGTGTGCCACGTAAGACAAAAGGTGTATTAAATTTAAAAAAAATAAGTTCAGGCGTAATAGGACCTTAGTTTAGTTAAAGCGTGTCTCTGAAATTTCGGTCATAATCTAGAGCGTAATTGTGCATTTTCCCATTTTTTCCAAACATGTCATCAATATTTTGTATGTAGGAAATTGTTAATTGCAATAGTTTTTAGAGTATATATCATTTTAGAAACTTATAAAATGATGTTGAAATTGATTACGATCTCTATTCCATTAGTCTAATAGCTTCTTTGATCAAAGCTCTTGAGAAACTAAAAATGCTCTTTTAAAATAAAAAAAGAATTAGTTTAGTGACTTTATGTGTTTGATCAAGTTTTTAAAGAAAATAAAGTGTTTTTTGATAGTAGTAGAAATTCTGAAAAAATATTTTTTTTTTCCAAAAAGCAATTTTGTGATCAGTATATTTATTGAACTGTGTCCACCACTGTAATAAATTTGAAATGTTAATTTTTGATATGAATGTTAGATCAGTATATTCATTCACTGAATTACAGAACTTGTTACTTATAGTTTTGTTTGTTTAGGATTGATCAACAAACATGTTCATACTTCTCAACAATTAGCTAGAGGAATCGAACTTATTCACTCTGGTGTAAGTGAAATTGCAGTCAATATAGTTGTCTGAACTACACACATTGTAGATAAATATGTTTGAGTTTAAGTTCTACGTACTCGCGTGTAAACAATCTGAGTCACTTAGAAGGTAACTGCAGGTAATTCTTTATACAATTTGTTCAGATGGTTTTGCCTATTGTATTGTATTGTTAGTTTATATATAATGTTTGTTTTGATTCCTACTTAAACAATATTTGACGTGATCGCTCATTTTGTCTTAACTTATTCTCTAATAATCTTATTTTATCGTAACTTGGCGTCAATTGACAACTATGACGTTTAACTGTGAGTGTGCACAAGTAGACACTTAAACTTGTATAAAATTGAGCAAATGAACACATTCGTCCAACATGGCACCATAAATGACAATTTTGTATCCTACATGGCATCCTACGTGTACTATGCCATGTAAGACACTTGTGTCTACTTGTTCAATTTTATAATACTTCAAGTGTGTACTTGTGCACATTCAAAGTTGGAGGGCATAGTTGTTCGTTGATATCAAGTTAAAGGTCATGTTTATGGATTATGTTTTTTATCTTTTATCCTACTTTCCAATTATGGCTCTACTTCGTAACCTATTTCTTTTTGGTTGGTTTTTCCTTCAAATTGAAAACGATACATTTTATTCATCAAAACAATACAGTATAATACGATAAATATAATTTACATCGTTTGTGCATATAACTCAAGTCCGATGTATTTATGTTTGTTTCAAAATTCTACCGTTGTTTGTTGATGGAATCAGGTTACATGTTTTGCTAAAGCAGGAGGGTAGCATATGTCTGGAATGGCAAGTGCAGTCGAAGTATTAGGCTTGCGTGCGTGTTTGGCCGAGTCAATTATGGACTATGGTGAGGGTTTGCCAGCTTCATGGGCTGCTAGGACTACTGATGAATGTATTAAGGTTGGCTAAGTTTGAAGTTTCACTTTGGAAATGTTTTCGATTAAATTTTAATAGACATTGTTCTGTTGCTTTCAACATTCCTAGAACGGATTCATCGCTTGATTCTTGTGTTGAAGTTATTTAGCTTGAAATTATTTTATTAGCTCTTCAACTGCCTGATGAAGATCCGTAATGTTATTTCAGAGTTGCTAATTTGAAAAATGTTTGTTGCTTAAAGTTACGAATGTAATGTTATTTCAAGAATGCAGTTGCAGAAGGATCTGTTTATAAAACATCATAATACAGCAGATGGACGTATCAAAGTGTGGCTTGGGATAAGGAAAATTATGAATTCAACTGATCGATTACTTACTGAGACGAGAGACACAGCAAAAGAACTAGAAACCGGGATTCACATGGTATATCTCTCTCTCAACTAAAATACAATACAAGATTTATATCAATGAAACAAAGAGAAAATGGTGTTCAGTCATCGTCAAATTTAACAATGTTTACACATTTTACCAACGTCGTTATGACTTAATTGAAAATGAAAAATTTGTATACTCGCCGAACATGTTCTGCTTTACTGATCCTGTATGTCCTCTGCTACTAGTGAGATTTAATAGTTTGCCCCTACTGTGACGTCTAGTAAATGGTTGTTAATGATAGTCTTTTTCTCGTTTCCAACCCGTTGGCATTTGTGAATTTAAATCAATATGTTCTTGTATCAAAGAAGATGCATTTCAACAGATAAACGAGGTTTTGTCGTTCTACTGCCCCTTAAAGGAAAATATGTAAAAGAATGTTGTATGAAAGACGAATAAGTGTTAAAAGGATTTGTTAACTCTACTGGTGTCTTAACGTCTCAACTATTTCAGCATATTGCAGAGATACCGTATGAAAATCAACTGATTATTGAAACTCGAGGAGTTGATAATGGAACTGTTACACATCTCGAGAAGATCAAGTTCCTGCAGAACAATTTGTTGGCAGCACATACTGTTTGGGTCAATGACAAAGAGGTATATATAAGCTTGTTGCCCTATTCTTTGATCTATCTGTCTTTGCTAAATTTGTGTATCTTGTTCGAGTTTGTTTCTTGGTAGCATGGCTAACTAAACCTAATTAAAGCCTCAGCCCAAAAGGAGTTTGGCGACACGGTCCACAATATTCACCATTGTTCTCAATAAGAAATTGCTCATACATATTGACTTTGATAAAATATTTTCTCCTATTGTGTAATTGTCATGTATTCGTATAGTTCTTGGTTTGGCTCCTAGTCTTGATTTAGAAATTGAGCAGATCGATGTGAAGATGACTTTTCTTCATGGATGTACAAATATTGTCCAATCAACCTCTTGCTATATGTGGATGATATGTTAATCGTGGACAAGAATACTTTCAGGATTGGCAAGTTGAAGAAACAATATTGTAAGTTTTTTGCTATGAAAGGTTGGGCCATACTAAGAAAATTTTGGACATGAGGGTTACTCGTCTCAAAGATGAAATAAAACTTTATTTGTCACAAGTACATTAAATGTGTATTAGAGCGATTTAACATGAAGAATGCTCAGCTTGTTAGCACACCTTTGTCTGGTCATATGACGTTGAGCAAGAAGACGTGTCCTAAAACAAGGGAGGAAAAAGAGAGCGTGGACGAAGTTCCATATTCCTCCATTGTTAAGAAGTGTAAGGTATCCAATGATATGTACTAAACCTGATATTGCTCATGTAGCCATTGTTGTTAGCATGTTTCTTGAAAATCCGTGAAAAGAGCACTGGAAAGCTGTGAAGTGGATACTCAGGGTTGAGAGGAATTTTAAATGAATGCTTGTGTTTGCTCATCCTAAAGAAGGGGAGTGTTCTTCTTTGCAAAGATCTAAATAAGAAAACGATAACGAAATGTTTCTTTTTAGCATGACAGTTTCCCGTATGGCTCGGAGAAAGGAAAGAGTAACAGAAGTTCTCATTATACACTCATTACATAGCAAGTATAAACTAAAGATTGTTGGGCAAAACTCAACTAGTTCTCAAGACAACTTCGAAATTCAGTCTGGTTGCATTACTTAAAAGTATCTCGACTTCAATGGGAAGTAACGTTTATTGCCGTTTCTTTTTCATCAAGAATATTTACTGTTTGTTTTCTTTCAAATAATTATATCTAGTTGTCAGGTTGATTGTCTCACAAAAGCTGGAGTTAAAGTATCACATTGTCCTGCTGCTTCAATGAGAATGCTTGGATTTGCCCCCATTAAGGAAATGCTCCGCGCTGGTGTCTGTGTATCCTTGGGTACAGACGGTGCACCATCAAACAATAGAATGAGCATTGGTATATATTGATCTGTCGCTGTTCTTGATATATTGTCTAAACTCCCAATGTTATCGGCATATTTCTCTGTTTGGTTTTCATTTACTTTGCAATGTTTAGAAATGTTACTAATATATCACATTTTTCCAAGAATGACTTTAGCAGCTTCCTCGTATTGTCCATTTATCTCGCTTATCATTATATGCTCAATGTTATCTATCTCTTGAGCTTCTATGTTTTGTTGTGATGCTCCATTGGTGTAGTTGATGAGATGTACCTGGCTTCCTTGATCAACAAAGGTCGTGAAGTATTTTCCACGGGAACCACTGATCCTACAGCTTTGCCTGCTGAAACAATCCTCAGAATGGCCACAATAAACGGTGCCGAGTCTGTACTTTGGGACAAGGAAATAGGTTCGCTCAAGGTTGGGAAGAAGGTCGGACATCTTGATTCCACCTATATGTTATTTCTGTTTCTTCTTCTCCCGATTCTGATGAGATTTTCCTGATGTTTGATCTCATCATACACGTAATTTACTTATTTTGAACTACTTTGCAGGCTGATATCGTCGTGGTCAATCCCTCTTCTTGGTCTATGATGCCAATTCATGACTGGTATGCAATCATTTTAACACACTGTGGAGAGACATTATTATCCCGTGATTCATCTTTTAGTATTTATGTACTATTTCGCGATATGCATCTGGTGCTTAGCATTTTCTAAAAGTTGCATCAATATCAGACTTTCTTTTACATATCCGTGATGTCAGGGCCAAGCTTTTGCGCACTTCAACTAATTTCACAAGATACCTGTCACCTCTCACCAGCAACAATAAGTACGATGTAATTATATCCACCAAGTCTAGTATAGGACAGATAAGAAGAAATCACCTAGTGTTTTTTGTCTCTACGTGGATTTAAATTAAACATGAAACCTCCTGATTCTCAACTTACATCATTGACCACTAGGCCACACCGTTAGCTGCAATATCAGACTATTTAAACTACATACATTGTCTAATCTTAAGTCTATAATACTAAACTAAGCTGTTTAGCAATCTGTGTATAGCAGTATATATCCTTGTAAAATGCTATGGAGTCTGTATGTTTGTTCTCTCTTATTGGTTTCATTCGATATATTGTACTTTTAATTATTCCGGTTAATGATATATGTCGAGCCTCGTTTACTGCATGAGAACTGAGAATATCGTCTCTGTGATGTGCAACGGCTGTTGGATTATGAAAGAAAAGAAAATCTTAGGCGTAGACGAGGTATTGCATACTTGTAAAGGGAAAACGACAAATATACCTCTTATTTATCGTAAATAGTATGGAGATATCCTTCATCAATGTCCCAAAAGAATGACAGATAAGATTGTTCTACGTGTTCCTATTTAGTCTTTCGTTAGAGTGAAGGACATATATGCTTTAGTTTTTGGATGACAGGGACACCTATGTCCCAAAAGTATGAAGGAGGATATTTGCATGCTGATTACGATAGTTCATGGGTATATTTGTCATTTTTCCGTACTTATTAATCATACTGTTTCATATACTTTGTTAGGTTAAATATTTATTCTGTGAGTAAGTGTCACATGTTTTTTTTTAAATCTTATGCACAGGAAAAGGTTCTATCAATGGCCAAGCATGCCTCTGCTGAACTTTTAAAGAGAGCAGACATACAAATTCCAAACAGAATGAATTTTGTGTGATCACTTCACTGTGTAAATTAAAGGTGTTTGTAATGTTAAAATGAAATAAAATTTGCTTTGTAATTATGTTCTCAACCTTATGGCTAATTTCAAGGTCAAACTATTGATGTCTGGGGATTAGACAGGATATGACAGCGTTTTAGCTGACTTAGGACATGATTCTAGATTGAAAGACATGAATATTGAGAATTAGTACGGAAAGGTAAGTGGTAATCAAGTTTTGTCCTACTTCTAGCAGTATGGTTTAGGTGTTATGTCTTTTTTTTTCTCACTATTGATGTCTGGTGATTAGACAGGATATGACAACGTTTTAGCTGACTGAGGACATGATTTTAAATTAAAAGATATGGAGGTTGAGGATTAGAACAAAAGCGTAACTGGTAATCGAGTTTTGTCCTACTTCTAGTAATATGGTTTAGGTTTTGTGTCTTTTTTTTCTCTCACTATTGATGTCTGGTGATTAGACAGGATATGACAATATGTTGCTACACTTGTTTGTGTATTGCTATTTCGTTGTTTCTTTTCTCTCTTTCACACCTGCTTTTATTAAGTTGAAGGTTTATTGAAAACAACTTCTAAAATAAAGATAAGATTTGTTGCATCCTCTACTCTTTTAAGACTTCAATTATGAAATTATATTAAATAGGTTGTTGTACTATTATTTATTGGTTTTCTTCATATCTTCGATGAATGCAAACAAATTAATAAAATCTAATATAGGGGTAAATTACTAAAACTGTGAGGGGAGTCACAAAACAACACAAGTAGGATACAACACCTACAAGGATCGACTTCAAGACAATCAACCAAATATACTTCACCAATTTACCAAAAGAAATTCACCAGTATATTAA